AGTAAAGGGTAAGCGAGACAGGACTTAATGAGGGCTGGGGGTATAGCTTAGTGGTAAAAGCACTTGCCTAGCATGTGTAAGGCTCTTGGTTCCATTCCCAGTATTGGGGGCAGAATAAAAAAGGATTTCTGAAGGGCTAGAATTCAGTTTGATCCTATAGTTTCCATTAATTTCCTTCTTGTGATTGAAAGGTGCACAGGGGAGGATCCCCATCTTGGGCAACTCTTATGTGAATGGCACCCTCAGTCAATTCAGCCCCAGTGTGGTCATTCAGCACATCCCAACTCTAAAATTGTTTCTGAGGCCTCTGACTGGCTTTAGAATTCTCACTTCCTTAGAAGTGGATTAATGTGCTTCTACAACTGACACACAGCCTGTCACTTCCCTGTTCAAGAATTCATGTGACCTCCTGTGCTCCTTGGATTAAGTTCGTATTTATCCTGGCTTTCAAGTTTTTCCATAAGCTGACTCAGCCCTCATAGCCTTCATCATTCCCTTCTACGTAGCCTCAGCGTGCAGTTGAATTAGCCCATTATCCCCTTCTCTGTGTTTACTGGGAAAGCCTCCACTTCAACATTCCCCAGAAGTCTTCCATTAAATACAAAAGTATGAACAAAGAGTGCTGTGGTCAAATAAATTTGGAAAACACTGTAAGTACCAGTATATGTCTTGACTTCTGGACTTCTCAAAACCTCCAGTAAGCTAATGCATACTAGAATTTTCCAAAGAGGAGCGAGAACGTAACATTGCTGAAATGATTTGATCTGGATGGAGCTTCTGGAGATTCTGGTATGCTGGGGTCAGACATATTGGGAAATTTTTTCCCCCTACCCAAATAGGCCCAGTTAAAAAGGAATTCCTTTGAGGCCCCACTTACAATTTCACCTGAGGCTTGTAAGTGTCAGGTTTGAGCATGTGGAGTGAAGCCGCCTTGACTCAAATCTTGGCTCTGCCATTTCCTGTGTAACTTCAAGAAAGTGGCTTATACTCATCTGCAGACCAGGAATGGTGGTTGTGAAGGTGAATTGTCTTGCAAAGGGCCTGACATTCATTCAGTACCCAAGTATTCATAAGTGTCATTAGGCCCTGGGACAGGAGATTTAGTGCTACATGAGTGACTAGCAATCTCCTGGATGAGGCGAATTATTTTCAATTGTGATCAGTTTAACAGGAATGGGACAAGGTATTATGAAAGCATCGCAAAAGAGGATTGGTTGAACTTAGCTAAGAAGCCCTGTCTTTAAAAGGGTCTTGATCCTAGAACCTGAAAGATAACCCAGGAGAGAAGTAGAGTAACTGGGGCAGTGTCCAGTTGGGGAAGCCTGAGAACCTGGTAATGAGCTTGAGGATTGAGAGGAGAGAACAGAGCACAGGACCTTGGAGGTGTTGACAAGATTGTTGTGTTTATCTCAGGGCAGCACTGAACTGGTCAAGGATGGGCACAATCCATTTTCCTTTTTTAAAAGGCATGGGGAAGACTGGGGGATATAGCTCAGTTGGTAGAGCGCTTGCTTTGCATGCGTAAGACCCTGGGTTCAATCCCCAGCACCACATACACACACACAAAAAGTAGTGGATGGCAGCAAGATGGAAAGCAGACACTGTGGGGAGGCCATTCCCTTCCAAGAAGGGCCAAGGGTGGCTTATGTTAATGGAGCTAGCGGAGATGGCCAGAAGTGGAAGAATTTGACATCCTCCACAGCTAGAGGATGCATCAGAGGTGAAGAGTAACTCCCAGCTTTCTTTGGCATCTGGGTATACTAATGTGTAGCGATGCAGATCAGAAGTTCAGTGTCGGACATGCAGAGTTCAAGGACTACCCACCATGTTCACTAAGCAGTGGCTGCTGTTATTTACTTCAGTTACTTGCATTAACTTTGGCTCCCTCGAGACAGACTCCTTGTGGACAGGAAACGTGAGCCCTCCAACCCACTTCCCGAGGACCACTTATGCATCAAGCACTACTGTTTGAGCTGAGGGTATAAAGATAATTAAGGTGAGGTTCCTGACCTTGAGGCAAACTAATTAGAGCAACACATTTTCTATTGAGTGTGAATGGAAGAAAGTGTGTAAGGTGCTTTGGGAACACTGAGCAGGCAATGAATGGGTAGTTCCCCAAGGGGGAAACTTTATGGAGAAATTGACCTGTGAATAAGAACCCACAAAATGGAAAGGGAATGGCATGTGCTGGAACCGGAGCTTGAGGGAACATGGTGGGTTCCAAAGAGATGATTGGCAAGAAGGCTGTGGGCTTTCCAGAGTGAGTGCATCTTGGTTCTCTTCTAAGGACCTTAGGTCATCAGGGCAAATTCCTCTCACTTCTTTCATATTCCCAGTCCTATCTGAGGTTCTAGGGAAGTGCTAGCGTATTGAGGAAACTTATTAAATGTTTGGTTTTTCCTAAACCTCCCAAACTTCAAACACATGGATAAAGTCATAAACCCTTTTGCTGCTCCTTGAGTTGGGTTATTGAAGCAACCCATCCCTTGGGACCAACCATTGGATGGGGGGGCTAGGGTGAAATGGGCACTGGGGAGGCTAGGAAGCTCCTTAACGGGAGAGTTCGGCAGTGTAAGAATCCTAGGAAGCCTGCACTGTCCCCTGCTCCCATATGCATCATTGGACATGACAGGTGTGAGATAAAACAGAGGTTCAGGAGCCGGGCATGGTGACGCACACCTGTAATCCCAGCAGTTTGGGAGACTGAGACAGGAGGATCTTGAGTTCAAAGCCAGCCTCAGCAACTTATCGAGGTACTAAGTGACTATGTGACCCTGTCTCTAAATAAAATACAAAATAGGGCTAGGGGTGTGGCTCAGTGGTGGAGTGCCCCTGAGTTCAATCCCCGGCACCAGCTCCTGCCAAAAAAAAAAGAAAAAAGGCTCAGGGTGTGTTCTGGGTTTACAATGAGCAGGCAGTCTTAGGACAGAGTCACTACAGGTCAGATGGAAGGAGCCACAGGTTGTGCTGGCACCACTTGGCTTCCCCTTATCAGCCTTCCTGTCACTTCCCTGGCACCTAGATGAAGGTCCTGCCCTCCATCAAGGCCTGCTTTCCCCTCCTTTTAAATATAACCTACTCCCACCCACATTCCCTGACAAGACTCAAATGTCCAGAAAAACTAACCTTTTTTTTTTTTTTTTTTTTTTTGAGTGACAGAAGCTTAACAAGTCTTGTGGCCTGGTGAATGAATGGATCTCCTTTACAGCTGAACCTCCCCACATAATTTCCAACTCACTCCTGGTTCAGAACCTCTCATTGCTTAGGTTTCCCCTGGGGCTTCATTCTGGCTAATAGGCTTCTTTCTAGGCATTCTGGGTTCCTCTGTGTCACACTTGCCTCAAACTACAAGGGCAAGGACAAGGGTCCCCCCAACACACTGGGGACCTCCTGAGGCTGGAAGCTGTTCTGTTCCCCTAGTGCTCTTTCCAAGACTCAGAAATGGGATCACTGTGTCTTAAAGGCAAAGGGGCCACCTTATACAAAGGAATTGATGAGTGACCTGGGACCCAGTTCTCCAAATCAGGAGATGTGTGGATTTGAACCCTTGAGGTCATGGTTGGGGTAGAGAAGATGAGGAGCCTAAAGGGGAAAAGTCTCCCTTGCCCTCAGTCCCTCCCACTCCAAAATACCTGCTGCATCTCCTCACCCTGTGGTCTCTTCCCTGTTTCTCTGTGTAGGACCTCATTACCTGTGTCCCAAGCCTGTTTTCCCATCTGAGAACAGGACCTGGGCTGAGTAGGCTTCCTTTGCAATTCTGATAAAAGCCTGGTGGCCTGCTGACACCCTGCCCTCTACCCCCACCCCCCACCCCAACACACACCACAGAGAAAGCCATTCAGTGGTCATTCATTTATTGAGTCCCTGCTTGTGTGCTGTGAAGCTAGCTCTGGTGATGCACAACATGTGGGGGAGGGTAGGGCCACTCCTGCTCACCAGGGTGACCACAGTGCATCTATGTACCACAGCTTGTCACGAGAGTCCTGGAAGAAGCCCAGTGAGTTCAGTGTGGGGCTGGTGTGGATTGCCAGCATGCAGGATCGAAGACCCCGGGAGGAGAAAGTCAGCAGTGAGATCCAGGGAAGACGTCTTGCATCCTCTGGAGGCTCTCACTCTGAACCTGGGTCCTCATCCTCTGTGTCTGGGGAGAGTTTTGTACACAGATGGTGGTTAGGGGGCTCTTATGTCTCCCCTACTCTGAAAGGCCTTCCCTAGTCACTGCCCAGGGCCCTCCATTTCCCTCTCATGTTTCTTCTGTCTGTAGCTATCTAGGGTGGCAGAATTACAGACCTGCTGCCATATCTTCCATTATTCAATCATAAGTGCCTCCAGAACAGGGATGGAGCCAATCCTTAGTTATTTACTCTAAAGAAGAGGAAGCGGCATTCAAAAGTCCCAAAGGCCTGCCTGGGGACATGGGAGGTGCCATGGATCAGGAAACTGGAGACACAGCTTTTAGTCCTGGCTCTGTTATTAGCTTACTTGTGACTTGGAACAAATTGCTTTCCATCTCCAAAAAACAACAGCTTCTAAGCTTCCTGTGCACAGCATGCCTGTGGCACTCGTTTCTATTTGGTGTTGGGGTGACTTCCAGGGTCCTTTAAATGGAGTGGTTCAAACATGTCAAGAAAATCTCAGGGGAAAATAGAGACCTTTCCCAAGCAGATGTTCTATTTGGGGAGTAAGGGAGGGACCCCAAAGTCTGCGCTCAGAGGAAGAGGTTAGTCACTAGGGAAGGCAGCCTAGAGCTCAGGTTCATAAGTATCTTTGACCTCTGGGGCACCCATTTATCCTCTTCTTGTGTGGGCTCTCCAGACCTGTGACTTTTCCCTGCCCAATTCACTTACCAGCCTCCATGCCTGACGCCTGCCAGAGGTGTAAACTGGTAACTGTTTAGGATAGTACCCATCTCAGAATGATGTGCACTTAATGACATTTGATGAAGGCAGTGAATCTCTTCACCACCCTCTCAATAGGAAGGACTAGGACTTTATGGACAGTGAGGGAGTAAGGGCATGTTTCAGGATGGAGAACTACACATCACTGTCTGTGGGTTCAGCTGGCCCCCACGGGCAGAGCAGAGTGTGCTGGGGCATGTTGGGGTGGAGAGGGCACAGTTTCAGAGCCATGTTATTTTTGTTCTGAATCATCAGGGATCACCTCCCTACACCCCTACCCTCTCCCAAGGGGCTACTGCTGGTGGCTTGTGGAAGCCTGTTCTGTCTGATTGGCAGCAAAATGCAAGGCCACTTTCCTATGATGTCCCTGTGGCCCACCAGGGGCTTTCGCTTACCTTCCATGGATGATCCCCTCCTGCTCAGGAGGGCCTGGGCCATTTGTCCCAGCTTATACCCTGGTGAGAGAGAAAGATGAGGGAGAGAAGAGAGAGGCAACAGAGAACCATTGTCGTGGATACCAGTGAAGGGCAGAACCAGAGCCAAAGCTGGGACCTTGAAAATGGAGTAATTTCTCAATCATCTTGGAGTTGAGGGTTACCCTGGATTGTTTCATTCTTTCATGTCTACATTCATTGATTTCTTCTTTTTTTATTTAATTTTTTTTGTAGTTGTAGATGGACAGCATGCTTTTATTTTATTTATTTATTTTTATATGGTGCTGAGGATTGAACCCAGTGCCTCATGCATGCTAGGTGAGCAGCTCTGCCACTAAGCTACAGCCCCAACCCTGATTTCTTCTTTTTCTTCCATTCTCCCATCTGTTTTTCCTAGCACCTAGTGTGTGGGGGTGGATGGGGGGGTGTTGGGGATCAAACCCAGCGCCTTGTGCATACAAGGCAAGCGCTCTACCAACTGAGCTATATCCCCAGCCCAATAGTGGGTGCTTCTTTTGGAAGAAACTAGACTGTGTATCTGGGATACAGAGGGATGGCAGATCTGGAGCCTGTGCACTGGAGGGCTGGGAACACCAGCTGTGTGACCTGGCAGGACAGCACAGTGCACTATGCCAAGGAGAATCTAGTGCCCAGGCTGAGGAGACCACACTGGCTGGGCAGGGCAGGTGGTCAGGGAGGACAGCAGCCAGGGATGGGCCAGAGTCAAGTCAGTGAGGCCCAAAAAGTATGCTGGGGTTGGGCTTGATCCCGAGAGCACTCAGGGGTCATAGGTACAGGCTGGTTTGCTTTCTTTTGATTTTGTTTTTCCCTTTCAGCTGAAAGGTTTTAGCAGGGTAATGGGTAATCAGATTTTCACTTTTAAGATCCTGCAGTATGCAGGGGATTGAAGCTTTGAGCACTTCTGATCTTTGATTCACTTTTCCAACTCTAGGATTTAGATCCAAAGTGATTTTGAAATTTGGCAGAACCAGACTCACCCCTGTCTCCTCCCAGCCCTGCAAGCATTCCCGAGGCATGCATGGACCACCCTCTATGGAAACAACCAGAAAGCCCAGCACTTGGCCAAACCACACTAGCCCCACCCTCTGCACTGCAATGCCAGCCTTGCATTTCTGATTTGCTAGTGACCGGGACAGCCTGCCCATCCCCAGACAGCATGCGGAGAGAAGGTCTGGGCAACACTTACCTGCTCTCTCTGGCTGGATGGGAGGTATTCCTGGGGGAAGGAAAAAGAAGGAATGAAGACTGGGCCACCCCTTTTGGGTGCTTGGGGAGGTAGGGTGGGGGGGGGGTCTTCATTGGAGCTATAGTCATTCCCCTGGTGTCCTCAAGTGACAGCAGGAGTGTTCCGGGCAGAAGGCAGTGAGGAGTAATGTGATACACACACTTTGGCCTCATTGGTGCCTGGCACCTGCTGGGTGGGCATCCTTGGGGAAGGGACTTCCCCCACTGGAAGCTGAGTCCCCACTGGTGATAAGGAGATTAAACTGTCATACTCAGGAAATCTTTCTTTTCCATCCCCTGCTCTTCCTGGGCTGTTGGATTGGGAAGAGAACTTGGAAATGGCCTATTCCCAAACTCATTTTGTAGAAGAGGAAACTAAGGCCAAAACTGGTCACAAGTTGGTTTTCTCTATTTTTATATGCATACTTTTTTTTTTTAACTGCAGAAGTAGTCCTTGAATACTCGCCCACTGTTTTAAAACCCAAGCCATGTAAAGGTTTGTACAGTAAAAAAGTTCCTCTTCATTCTATCTCCCTCATTCTCTACTTCCTGTCCTTGATACAACCACTACTTACAGTTTGATGTTTATCCTTCTAGAACTTTTCCTGAGTTTGCATATATGTGTAAGTATGTAATTTTTTTTAAACAAGTAGGCTTCTATCATGTATATTTGTTCTGTAACTTGCTTTTTTCTTTTAACCATATATCTTAGAGCTCTTTCCATATCTGCCCACAAATCTGCCTCTTTTTTTTTTTTTTTTTTGAACTGGGGATTGAACCCAGGGGACACTGAGACACATCACCAGCCCTTTTTATGTTTTTTAATTTAGAGACAGGTTCTCACTAAGTTGCTCAGGACCTTGCTAAGTTGCTGAGGCTGGCTTTGAGGCTGGCTTTGAACTTGCAATCCTCCTTCCTCGGCCTCCCAAGATGCTGGGATTACAGGCATACACTATTGTGCTCAGCTGCCTCATCTTTTTAAATGTCTTTGAGGTTATGTATGTGCCTAATATATTTCAGTCTTTCCCCCATGATGGTCTTTATGTTATTTCCAAATTCTCCCTATTAAAAAGAGTTAAAATGAATACTTTGATCAGTGGCATGCACATTTTCGATTTTGATGGATATAGACAGTGAATAAAAATGCCAGTTTCCTCATGTCCTCACCATCACTGAGCATGACCACTTAAGAAATAGGATACACACCTGTAATCCATCGACTACAGAGGCTGAGGCAGGAGGATTGCAAGTTCAAAGCTAGCTTCAGCAACAGCAAGGCACTAAGCAACTCAGTGAGATCCTGTCTCTAAATAAAATATAAAAAGGGCTGGGGATGGTGCTCAGTGGTCGAGTGCCCCTGAGTTTAATCTCTGGTACCCCCTCACCCCCCCAAAATAGGATGTTGACAATAAGCAAGGAGAAAACCGCTTGCAACCTCCTTTCCCCCCTAGGCAGGACTCCCACGTTGGCAGTGCCCTTGGGAAACAGAGGTTTATTTTAGTAATTCTGTTTGAGCCAAAGAAACAACTAAAAAGCTTGGCTGGTTGCTTTGCTCATGTATTGACTTTGGCCTCTACCTTTACTGCTACTCCCCAAAGTCACCCAGGAATGGAAGCCAGGGACACCAGATAGAGTGCAAGATGTTTGCCCCACCATTAAGGTGTCTGTGCTCCCCATATGCCAGGACAGTCTCTATTTACGTCTGTTGCCTGTTGTCATTGTTAACATTCCCCAAGGATCATAATTTACATGGATGATCTACCCCACCTCATCTCAGGAGTGACCCCTTCTGGACTGGAGTAACTGATCCAAGCTTCACTGCTTTAACCTAGGGCCCCTTCTCAGGACCTATTCAGAACCACGCTTTGCTGGGCTCCTGCATGTGACTGTCACTCACCTTCCACCTGCTTCCCCATCAGCCCAAAGAACTGGTTTGCCTTGCTCCTCTTCCCCTCCTGCAGCTGGAGCTGAATGCTGGGGACAGGGATCTCCTGAAGAAGCAGAGAGTTAACAGTAGGGTGGGGGGGTGCTGTCGAGGAGGAAATCCTCAGCAGTAACAATCTCAATAACAGCAGCTCAGTCACAGGACACTTGCTGTGTGCTGGCACTGAGCTCATTTGCATATTTCCATCCTATTGTGCATTATAATATTTACCAGCTAACACGTTACCTACTAAGTTACTGACACTGTTCTGAGAGTTTTAATGTAGCAACTAATTTAATGCTCACCAAACCCCTATGAAAACACTACCCAGTACTTCTACTGTCACCATTTTACAGATGAAAACACAGAGGTACAGAGAGATTAAATATGTCCAAGATCACCCAGCTAGAAAGTGAGAGATGAACCCAGGCCATCTAAGATGTAAGGTGAGTAAGTGACTTGTCCAAGGTCACACAAGTGGTTGAATCAGAATTCAAAAGTCTGACTCCCAGAATTCTGCTCTAGGAAACATCCCCAACATAGGCAAGGAAGAGACCCCCATTAAACTCAGGGGCACCAAGGAGGCAGGGTGGGACTGCTTCTACTCTAACTCTGGCTCTCTTCCTTGCCCTGGGCACTTCCCCTATTGTCCCAGATTTGCCTACCCTGGGGTCTGTGCCTTCCAGCAGCAGGTGGGGGGGGGGAGGGGGGGGCTGTTACCCTGGGCAGTCATTTTAATCCTTGAGCTGACAGGACAAACATCTTGACCCAAGTCTGTGGGTTTAAGTTCTCCCTCCTTTGTTACCTCCAGGACCTTGGCTAAAGCCCTTTCTCTCTCCCTTCTTAGCATGAGCCCCAGAAGTGGTGGTCCTTTCTATAACCCAGAATAGGATCCTTCTGGGAACAGGGAAAGGAATGGGACCTCCTTTTCCAGGAAGCCTGAAGTCAGGCAGACAGGGCCCAGGGTATGCAGGCACCTTCCCAGAGACTGGGAGCTGAGATCGGATCAGGGGCTCTTTCTTCCATCCTTTTTTTCCTCCAGGGCAGTGCTGGAGCCCCCACTCCAGCAGGACCAGCGTGGACCTGTCTGGGGGCAATGGGAACTCACAGGCCTTTCACAGTCTTTTTTGTCCCAACTTTTGGGATCAAGAGTGGATTGTTTTCTAAGCTGTGGACTAATTCATTCACTTCCCATCTGTCTCCTCCCTGGGTCGTCAGTGGCTGGAGCAGCTGTCTCAGGCTGGAGTCGCCCAGCCTGGCCAGAAACCAGAGAAGACTCTTTGGAGATTTGGACCCATTTCTGAGAAGCTCATGAAAACCACTTTGCCTTGGTAAAAGGCAGCCTTCAAATGCAAGTGGGAGAGAATGGCCCTTTAAAGTTTAAATAGGACTGACCCTTTTCCTAGCCACTGGGTTTCTGGAGGGACATTAGAAGGCATCCATTCCTTTTCACTCAGGAAGATCTTTCCCTCAGTGGAGCCCTCCATACTGTTTAACCCAAATCCCCAGCTCCAGAGAAGACAGCAGGCAGGGAGCCCTGAACTGAGGAGTGAGCAGATCATTGGGAAGGTGTCTCCAAGCGCCAGCCTCCTACAGTAATGCTTAGCAACCCACAGCGTTTGGAAGTTTCTCCAGCTTTTTAACCGGGTCTCTCCACCTGTACTCTAAGTCCTGCATCTTGGAAGGCAGAGGAAAGTGAAAGGAGACTAAGGATGGGAACGGCAGAAAGCCCGCAGAACTTGCTGGAGTTTTTGACAACCGTCCCCACACGGCTCCATCCAGAGTGCGCCCTCACACAGCCGGGCTTCTCATATTGTCGGGTTCCCCACCATTTGGCATAGATTCCCTAAAGCGGTCAAAGCTCAAGGAAGATCTTGGGTATCATGCCTACTCCCCACTTTGCAAGTAAAGAAACAGGTCTAGAGAGAATCAGGCGCCGGTGGAGAAGCTGACTTGAGCCCATGTCTCCCAGGCCCGCTGCCCTCTTGCTACCCACAGTTCCATGTTTAAACCAGAAAGAAAACCATCACTATGATTGCCATGTCACAAGTCTTCCTTCCTTTGGCCCCATTTTCTAAGAACTTCCAAAGACCTCAGCATGGCCCTGGACCATGCTGTGCTTCACCGTACCTAGCTCTGAGCACTAGTCTCTTATTTACCTGTTTGTCTCTGGTCTATTAGCCCCTCTCCCTGGTTGAACTGGGAGCTCCAAGGTCAAAGGTCTTTGTCTTCTGAATCAAATCAGATCAGATTTTGGTTGTGGTTTGGGTGGTAGCAATGTTGGGTCTCCAGTTTTTAGATTTCTCCCTAGTGACAGTGCTCAGGGGAATAGACAAGACTGCTATCATATCAGTACTGGTCAGGAAATAAAAGTGTTTCTACATGCGTGAAAAAACAGTGACCTTGCCCAAAGTTGATCCCCTCAAAAGGATATTCTAGAAAATTTCTGATACAGAGATACACAAAATAAGATCTTGGACAAAGTGCGCAGTTTGCTTTTGAAGCTATGCAACTTTGGACAAACTACTTGACCTCTCTGTCTCTACTTCCTTATCTGTGAAATAGGGATGATAATGGTACTCTCCCCATGAGGTTGAAATACAGATTAAATGTGTTTAGTGTTTATAACGCATTTAGACAGTACTAGGAATACAATATGTGTTAAATAAGCGTTTACACACATACATTACACACACACACACACAGCTAATGCTCTCAGTCGTGTGAGCCGTGACCTCTTTGGTCATGGCCTTGAAGCTAGTCACAGGGGGGAGTCAGCTGACCTGCCTTGAGTGTACAGTGTACCGGCTGCTCTCCAAGCAGGTGTGGAAGGGATCTTCCACCCCTCCACCATGGGTCACCCCCTGCCCTGCACAGAGCTTCTCCCCAAAGTTACCTCTAGGATCAGGGTCACCCAGGGCCCTGCTTCAGCGCTGAGTGCCAGTTCCTCTCCACTGTCACCTGTTGTGTTGCATACTGACGGCCCTATCAGGAGAAGCAGGGTGAGGCAGGGTAGCATGGTGCGCGTGCTCTGACTGAGGACCCTCTGGGAGCCCCTCTCAGCCTGAAGACACCGTCTCCAGTGGCTGCCTTTTGGCTGCTTGAGTGTAGGAGGGGAAGCTCCCCTGTCCTCTGGTCCTTCCAGCTGTTCTGCTTTCCTTTCTCAGCTTATTTGACCCGGAGACATTTCCTGTGCCGCCTCTGGTCTGGGAAGGCCAATGATGGGCTGAGCTGCTCAGGAGGAGGGATCAGACCTCCCCCTGCTGTGCCCCCAACATTTGATCCAGGGCTTAGCACTCTGATGCAACACCAGCCTCACCTCTGGCTGCCTCCCTCCAGGGGCAGTGCACAATGGCATAGTGTGTGGGGTGTGCAGCGTCCAGCTCCAGGCCCACAACCCCCAGGGGACCTCATGTTGGAAAGAGGAAGAAACAGGTGGCTCCTCCCTATGGCTCCTCCCCCTTTGATGCCTGCTCCCCTGTTCAGAGAGTCTTCTTCCCAGAACTTAGTACCCCATCATCTAGCTCCCCTTCTGCTGGGGATTGAACCCAGGGGTCTTGTGCATGCAAGGCAAGCACTCTACCAACTGAGCTATATCACAAACCTTCCCTGTTCAGTTTCTCCCTCTTCACCCAGGCATCCATTCATCCATCTGTCTGTCCACCCATCAGAAGTCTAGAACCAGGGCTTGTTCAGAGACCTGAATTCCAATTCTAGCCTCCTCTCTGAATGACTGTGTGACCTTAGAACCCTCATGTAAAACAGGGTTAACGATAGCACTCTTTCCAAAATTTGATGTAATGAGATAATGCATGCGGAACACTCAGCACAGTGCTTGATGGTAAATATGTAATGCCTGTTTACTATTATCCGTGGCAGATAGGCTAAATTCTGTTTGGCATGTGCCAGCCTCTCTTGCCCTGCCTGAGACTCCAACCCACCATCTGCTCCCAGGACAGGATGAGACTTCCCGCCCTCATGGTTTAGTTTGTCATTGCCTCTGCCCGGATGTTCCTTTCCACCTGGTAAACTCCCAATCATCCTTCAAGTTTGGTCCCACTTACTGTGCACCCCCTTATTAGGGTTTTTCTGTCTCTAATCCCATTTCTAGCAAGAATTAATTGGCCTCTTTTCCAATACATCTCTTATGGTTCTCCAAAGACTGCTGTGAGAGGCTGTGTAGGTTGTGTACTGAACAAGGGTAGCGCCTGAGGGGAGAGTGGAACTCAGCCTGTTTTGATCACTGAGCAACAGATCCTAGAGGGAGGCTGCACACCCTGGAAGAAGGAGGTTGGCTCCAGTTCTCCCAAATGGGCCAGCTGGGCACAGGGCAGCCCTGCTAGTTGGCTATGTGGTAGTTGATTGTGCTGTGAGCTCTTTGAGAAGGGGGCTGTGAAAGACAGTACTTGGCACGCAATTGGTCCATAATAACTGTGCATTCACTCTGAGTCCAGGCCAGCTAAGACAGAGCTAAATAAGGGCTAGCATCAAGTATTTGGAGGGGACTCCCCTCATCCAGGAATCTCTTTGGTGGGTCCCAGCCAGGATAGCTTCAGAATCCCAGAATTTGCTACAGTTCTCTGGTTCAGCCTATTTCTCCCAAGCCTGGGCTGGCCTTTGGTCCCTCTCAGCACTCCAGAGAGGTATCCTGTTGACTCTTACTTAAGTCTAAGGGCAGGATGCTTAATGCCTCACATTCTCTTTTGGGCTTTCCACTGTTGTTATCAAGTTCTTTCATACAAATGGGGTTTTACTGGGCTGGGGATATAGCTCAGTTGGTAGAGTGCTTTCCTTGCACGCATAAGGCCCTGGGTTCAATCCCCAGTACCACAATTAAAAAAACTGATGGAATTTTGCTTTTCATCCCCTTCATTTTACAGATATGGAAACTGAGGCAGTCTGGGCTTGCTCTAGATGACACTGAGAAGTAGTGGCAGACCAGCTTCCCAGGCAGTGCCTTCCCATCTTCCCTGGGGCCTGACTGGGAAGAAGGCTGCAGGCAGACCCAGCATGGGCCTTTGGACAGAAGAGATGGCCTTCCATTTGCAGATGTAAAGGGGGTGACCTTAGCCCCTAAAGAGTAAGGTAGTCTCAGTTTCACCATTGGCAAATTGAAGCTGCCCCTCATAGGGCATGCTGAACATTTCATGAAGTCCTACTAGGAAAGTGCTCTGCACAATATTTAATAAACTCTAACTTAATTGTGACTATTAGACCCCAGGAGCTCTGGATCTTGATGCAGGTCTCCTGGCCCCGGTGCCAGCTCCGGTCCTCGCGGGTGCAGGAACCACCCCGCGGGGGGCAGGATGTGGTGGGCGCCCAGCGGGGACGAGGCAGGAGGCATCTGGCCGAGCAGAGAGGGCGGCGGAAAGCAGGGAGAGAAAACCCCAAAGGTCCGGAAGGCCGGGAGGCAGGCAGGGCACCGGCTGGAAACCGCGGCTATTTGCAGCGTCGCCCTCGGGCTGCGGTCAGGCTGGGGCTTTCAGTCCTGGCGGCCGAGCCCGCCGCCCCGCCCGGTGCCCTCGGCCACCCGGGCACGGCCTTGGCCGCTGCGTCCCGCTTCGCCTTGTCCTCGCGGCCCGGGCGGCAGCTGGGACTGGGCGCCGCTGCCAGCGGGGAGGACCAGGACAAGGAGGAGGGCAGGACGCGGGATGGCGGGTTTGGGTGTGACCCCGGGTGGACAGGGTAGGTTGAGGTGGGGCGCGACCTCGCGTAAGGCGGGCCGGGGCAGGTTCGGGTTCGGGCGACCCGGCCAGCGGGCAGTCTGGCAGGCTGCGCCCCGGGGACCGGCCGGGGGTAGCGCGGGGGGGGGGCGGTGTGGCCGCGGGCGGGTGGCGGCCGCCCGGAGGCTCCCTGGGCGCCGGGTGGGCGCGCAGGATTGCTAAAGGCTGCGGTTTGGCTAGGACTGCTGAGCTGAGAAGAAAAAGGGCGCAGGAGGGAGGGACTGAAAAAAGAAAAAAGAAAAAGGAGCGGAGGGGGACGGAGAAGGAAACACGAGCTGAGGGCGGGATGCGCGGGAGACCCACATCCAAGCGCCCGCCCCAGCCAGAGGAGGTGGGGTCATTGGCCCATTTTACAGGTCACTTGGGGAGGTGGAGAGCCGTGGGTAAGGTCCCCACCTGTTGACTAGCAGAGGCGGGATTCTAATCCTGATCATCTGCCGCTTGCGTGCTTTTCCACTTTGACTGGGAGCCCCAAAGAGCAATAGAAGAGAAACAGAAGGGTGATGGGGTCTTGGTTGCCTCTTGGGGACAGGGAGCTGTCAGCTAACAATCTGGTTCTGCCACCCGGGTGACTGAGCCTCTGAGCGCTGCTTTGCGCTCTTCCAGCACCCCCATGTGGAAGGTTCTGTCTGGCTGCCTCTTCTGCTTTCCTAGAACTCCTGGAGGTGCAGGAGCTGGCTCCCTCCTATGGCCTGACCCTTGTATATATGAGGGATTGGGCTGCCAGAGACAGGCCCCGGCGGGGGGGGGGGGTCCCCTGGGGCCCACAGTGCAGTCCTTCTATTAGCCAGGTAGTGGGTAAACACACCACAGAGCCCAGGGCTGGGAGAATACTCTGTACCCTGTGCTTGGACCTTTTCAGCTGTCATGTCTTGGACCCTTTTGGGGACCTCTTTGCGGTTACATTGGGGCACCCAGTCCTTGATTTATGGATTTATTGAGCACAGGTAAGATGAGAGTTGTCAGAGAACTGAGATGAAGGAAGGGGACACACATGACAGTTTTAACACAGTGTGGAGAGTGCCACGCAGACAGTTCCAGGGAGGAGCAAGAATCCCCAGCAGACTTTAATGCATTCCTGATGCAGGACACGTGCACACTGGTCCTTCTAAACCCACTTGGGGTTTAGAAGTAGAACTGTAAGCCCATCGCATAGATGAACCTAACCCTTGTCCCTTAGGCCCAGAGATTGTGTGGGCAGACTTCTCTGCCCACATTGGTGGCCAGTCTGCCTTGCTTCTTGGCATTTATAGCTCCTCAGCTGTGCCCATAGGAAGGGTCTGAAGGCATCACCCAGTTTCAGAAATAGATTGTCACTGCTAGCTGATCAGAGTTAACAGTGCCTATCCCTATCTTATTACCAGGCCCTGCCCTGCCATCAAATGCACAGCTGGCCCAGGAGTGCAGAGACCTGGGTTTGCTCACCATGGCTCCTTCCTTCTCTATCAACTTCCTCTGAAAGGCCCACACTCACCCACATCTTTAGCAATCAGGTTCCATAAGGAAAAACAAACATGACCAGTGGAATTACTTGTCCACACGAAGGTTTTAAGTCAAGAGAAGTGAAGCAGAGCAGAGTGGTTAAGAATATTCTGGATTGGAGGCTGGAGATTGTAGCTCAGTGATACAGCACTTACCTAGCAGGCAGGAGGCCCAGAGTTCAATCCCTAACACTGGGGTGGGGGTGGGGGGATTAGATTGGAATTCTGCCCCCACCACTCACCATCCTTGACCTTGGGCAAGTTATTTAACCATTATGAACTCCCTAAGCTCCTTCACCTTATTCATAAAAAGGGAAAAATAATATACAGATCAGAGCAAGTGGATCAGAGTAGGAAGAGAGGAAGGGGAGGTACAGGAAAAGAGGTTGATGAAGTTATGTGCGTGGATGAATATGGCATAACGAAGCCCACTATTATGTACCAAAAAGTAAATGAAAAAATTAAAAAATGACAGGGTAAGGGCATATATTTAAGTTTTAATTCTTATTGTTCATAAAGTTGTCAGATTGAAAATAGTAAAAGTAGAATATTTTAAAAGAAAACATAAAATCTTATTTTACATGTAAACTTAAAATGTTGTCAAAAAGTACATTTTTTCCGGGATAGTGGTTTGTGCCTGTAATCCCAGGGGCTTCGGAGGCTGAAACAGAAGAATTTCAAGTTCAAAGCCAGCCTTAGCAATGGCAAGGTACTAAGCCTCAGTGAGACCCTGTCTCTAAATAAAATAAAAACTAGGGCTGGGGATATGGCTCAGTGGCTGAGTGTCCCTGAGTTTAATCCCCAGTACCCTCCCCAAACCATATATTTTCATTGAAAAAATTAATAAATATACAGTGCTCATGTCAAAGGGTTGTTGGGGATTAAATAAGATAATGTATAAAAGAACTTCATGCAGCATCTGGCACATTATAAGCACTTAATAAATGACATAAT